CCCCAAAACCCCAAAACCCCAAAACCCCAAAACCCCAAAACCCCAAAACCCCAACTTAGCATATAAGGAAGAAGAAAAAGAAACAATTAATAATAAAAATGTATAATACTTTATCAATAGACAGCTTAAGCCTATTTTCCGAGAAAGAGTTTGCCTTTATGGAAACACCAGACGCAGAGGATAACGAGCCTATCTTCCCCCTTCTCTCTGCGGGGGATGAGGTACTCTTTGACTCAGGAATGGATTTGATTGACGATTTCTGTGGCAAACTTGAGGTACCAGAGGACAGCCAATTATCTCCAAAATCAAACCAAGGAGTCTGCTTGACAGAAGAAGAGGATGAACTTGTATTTAGATTCGCCTTGTCCTCATCCAGTGAAGAAAAAGTAGAAAGAAAGATAGTTTGTGAGATAATTGGGTCAGATCAAAGCATATCTACTCCAGAAATTTCTAGTATTTCGGAAAACGAGAAGGCTAAGACCAAGACTCTATCAGATCTCCCAGAGGATGACATCAAAGTTGACAGCTCTTCAGAAGGGAAAGGAACCAAAACGAAAATTCAAGTTATCAATTCTCACAATCTTAAACGCCACGATGTTGTTCTTAAAAGTATTTTGAGAAAGATGAAGAGAGATTTCTTCCAGCAGTTTCTAGATGCCACTAATTACCAGAAAAAGGAGAAACATTCAAAAGTGAGGATGGCTAATCTAGTAAAGGGAGCTAACAAAATGGTTGGCCAGATGGAATTACCGATCCTTGCTAATAACTATTGCTTTTATTACTTGGCAGTCACCTGTCCAGGAGAATTGAGAAAGGCACTCAACCACACAGATGTAGCCCCAGCCCATCAAGCTATGCTTACCAAGGCTTATAAGGTTATCAATCTTATTGATAGTGTCATGAACAGATTTTCTAAGAGAATCTTTAATCAATTTATGGAGATTCCTGAGATCTCAGCTCTTGTACACCACTATCTCCTCAGCCAAAACTATCTTGAAGACTGTGAGGGTTTCGCCCCATGCATAAGTATTTTAGACGCTAAATCTAAAGAAGTCATGAACAGATATTCCAACAATCAAGACTCTTTTGAGTCCAATCAGTATTGGATTAAAGAGAGTTTTGAAATTTTTAGATCTTAACTCTGGGTATAAGATTTTCTAATAATTAATATAATAATTCGGTCCTAATATTCTTCCTCAGTATTCTGGCTGGCCTAGGGGTTTTGGGGTTTTGGGGTTTTGGGGTTTTGGGGTTTTGGGG